GTTCGGAGTTTTCGGCATTAGCATTTTCTCGAAAAACGAGATCATGACATGTAAGCTACTTTTTTTCTATCTCTTTTAGTTTCGGAGATAGCCTATGCGGACATCGAAATTGGGACACCCTGTACAGCAAAAAAAAAACATTTTTTGCATATTACTTTCTAAGTCTTTCACGGAAATTATACATCTTAGATTTGACCTATTCCCATGAAATATAGTCACATGAGCTCAGTTCTGGCGATCGTGGAGACCAATGAATATTCCCATTTTTACTGATGAAGCGCTTCTAAGAAAGTTCAATGTAGCCCTAACTATGTGACAAGTTGCTCCATCTTGATGGAAATGAGTATTCTCATTCATACACTTGTGGGATAAAAAAAAGTTTACAGCATTCGAACATATCGCATATTTCGGTAACGCATGGCCATCATCACTCTCAAAGAAGTATGGGGCAAATATGCCATTTGAAGACATCGCGCATCAAGCTGTAACTTTGGCCGAATGGAAAAAAAAAGTCCAAACAGAAATGGATGTTTCACTCGGAACAGGAGCATAAGACGGTTAATGAACATCTCAACGAAATTCGCGTTGTGCTTGCACATGACTGACCATTTTCTTATTAAGGTGTAACAGCAAAACCACGTTCTTCACAAGTCCAATTAAGCATGTTGATTTAACTGTCAAGTGTATTGAATATAATTACTGCCAACTAACTTAGTATAAAAGCCTTGTACTATCGTATGATTTTACTGAATATTCAAAAAGTGAAACTTTTTTCTGCTTCTACATGAAATTTCATCTTTTGTCTTCACATTTGTTGCAAAAAAAAATTAAATTTATGTTTTATAAAACTTTTTTAATAGTTTTAAATAGTGCGTTTTGACTGTCCCACCCTGTACTAAATTTTGCTGCCAGAAAAATAGACATTGCTATTGAAGACTAAATACTGCCAGAAAAGAGCTACATACTGCTGATAGAAGATTAAATATCAGTTGAGTAAGACTAGATACTGCTAATTTAGGAATAGTTACCGCTAATAGACTAGATTCTGATGCCAGCAGAATAGACACTGCTATTGAACGATAAATACTGTTAATAGAGAGATTAAATACTCTTCGAGGAAGAGCGGGAACCGCTAATGTGGGAATAGTTACTGCTAATTGATGTTGAGATAGTACTTGCAAAACATTAAATTTTATTGTCAAAAGAATAAACATTGCTGTTGCAGACTAAGACTAAATACTGCGAAAGAAGAAGACTGTGCTGCTGATAGAGGATTACATACTACTTGAGGAAGAGTCATCATCAACAGCACGTTGTTACGCCACAGTTGACGCCTAGGCCTCTTCTCTGCCTATAAAGTTGTGCAGCTTAAATTACATTACAGGTGGACCTACAGTTCATAGTGGATTCCGAATGACTGGAAATAAACTTCAGACCAGAGAAGCCATAAAACCCCACGTTGACAAGACGGGTTTGAGAGTTGAGGAGCGCACCGTTGGATGAAACAGTCGGCCGCCTAGACCACTACACTACGCTCTCTCTTGAGGAAGAGTAAATACTGTTAATTTAGGAATAGTTACTAATTCATGTTTTTAAACAACTTGCAAAACATTAAATTCTGCTGCCAAAAGAATAAACAATGCTATAAAAGACTAAATACTGCTATAAGAAGAGTACATACTGCTGAAAGAAGATTAAATACTACTTGAGAAACAGTAGATACTGTTACTTTAGGAATAGTTACTGCTAATTGATGTTCAGATACTACTTACAAAACACTAAACTCTGTTACATAAAGTACAAATACTACATTTATTATAATTTTCATTTTTAATAACCCTCCGTATACGAGGTGAATTAATCTCACATGCCATACTAGGTGGGGTATGACATTCCCCAGAAATAAAATACTATTTCTATAAAATTTTACATAGAACACGATCTCGCGCGTCTTTTTTGTTTTCCAATTTTTTCAGTTTTCTTGAAACTGGGGTATATGATACCCCACCTCGTATGCGGAGGGTTAAAACTAATTGCTATTCAAGACTAAATACTGGTAGAACAGGACTACATACTCCTGACAAAAGATTAAGTGCTTGAAAAAGAGTAGATATTGCTAGTTTAGGAATAGTTACTGCTAACTGATGTTTAGGTATTATTTGCAAAATACTAGTTTCTGCTGTCAGACGAATAGCTATTGCTATTGATGACTAAACACTGTTAATAGAGGATACTAAATTTTGCTAATAGAAGAATACTCTGCTGATAGACAGGGCTAATACAAGATTAGTTCCTGCTAACAGAGGATTGCATATTGTTGCCAGAAGATTAAACATTGCTGGAAAAGCACTAAATACTGCAAATGGAAAACTATCATCTTGAAAAAATGAGTAGATGCTGCTTGCCAAACATTAAATACTCTTAAATCTATACTTGATCTAGGACGATTTGTAAAAACAACACTTGACTAATATTTTTTGAACATACTACCAGTATATTTACCGCCACCAGAATCAATTTAGATCGATCATTTTAAATAATTCCGAAAAAATAAGGGTTCGTTTTCAAAATATAAGCGAAAATGTACTTTTCCCCTAACTTACAACCCCTATAACTCGCCTCAGGGGTTTTTACCGCATATATAAAAAAAAATGTAAACCTTATTTTAGTCCATTCTATAACTGTATCAAATTTAAGCGTCTTTCCGAAAATCATCCAAGAAAAAATAATCCCAAAATATTTATTATACCAGGAATTTCATATAACTCGCAATATATGCACTATCCCATATAAAATGCAATATAGCTTAATAGTACAATTAAGTAGTTTTGCAAAGGTGACGTTTTTATGATAAGCTTGAATTTTCGGCTGTCTTAAGAGACGCACGGCTAAACCCGAATGTTTCTAGTTTTTAGTTCTAGGTCTAGTGTTAGTTCTATTTTTCGTTCAATAAAAATATGCAACAAGCTAACGCTAAATAACAATTAAAACTTGAACTAACACTAGACTTAGAACTAGAAACATTCGGGTTTAGCCGTACGTCTTTTAAGACGGCTAAACCTGAATGATTCTAGTTCTAGGTTTTGTGTTAGTTCTAGTGATAGTGCTAGTGTAATACTAGAACTAATACTAGACGGAGAACTAGAATAATTCGGATTTAGCCGCACGTCTCTGAAGACGGCTAAACCCAAATGATTTTCTAGTGCTAGGTCTTGTGTTAGTTCTAGTTTTAGTTCAATAAAAATATTCAACAATCTAACGCTGAATAACAATTAAAACTAGAACTAACACTAGACTTAGAACTAGAATCATTCGGGTTTCGCCGCACGTCTCTTAAGACGGCTAAACCCGAATGATTCTAGTTCTAGGTCTTGTGTTAGTTCTAGTGATAGTGTAAAACTAGAACTAACACTAGACTTAGAACTAGAAACATTCTGGTTTAGCCGTACGTCTTTTAAGACGGTTAAATCTGAATAATTCTAGTTCTAGGTTTTGTGTTAGTTCTAGTGATAGTGCTTGTGCAATACTAGAACTAATGCTAGACGGAAAACTAGAATAATTCGAATTTAGCCGCACGTCTCTGAAGACAGCTAAACCCGAATGTTTCTAGTTCTAGGTCTAGTGTTAGTTCTAGTTTTAGTACAATAAAAATATACAACATAGTGATATCTTATGTTAACTAGCGCTACCTACCACTGTCACTAGAACTAACACTAGACCTAGAACTAGAATCATTCGGGTTTAGCCGCACGTCTCTTAGGACGGCTAAACTCGAAAGATTCTAGTTCTAGGTCTTATGTTAGTTCTAATGATAGTGCTAGTACAAAACTAGAACTAACACTAGACCTAGAACTAGAAAGTATCGGGTCTGAAGACGCACGGCTAGTTCTAGGTCTAGTTTAACGTTCTAGGTCTGGTGTTAGTGACCTCTAGTGATATCTTATGTTAACTAGCGCTACCTACCACTGTCACTAGAACTAACATTAGACCTTGTTTCTATGAAAATATATTTTTGCATATTATATTTTAAGTGAAATTCACTGTAATATAACATAATCTCATTTTTGTGTGTTTGACGTTAAATTGATCTCAATTTTAGTGTTGAATTGAATTGGGTAAAGTTTAATTGTCAAAACAATTAAATTAAACTCACTTTTATTGTACTTGACGTAAAAATTAAGACCTTTTAAACCTTAATAAATTTCATAATTCAGGTTATTTTAATTTGATTATGATCATAATTAATTAACGTTAATTTCGGTTATCTCATTAAATCAGGGTTGTTATCAAAAGAATTAAATTCTTAACGTTTAGTTCGATTATGATTTAATTTTCGTGATGGTTTAACTCAATCACGTCAAGTAATATAAGTAGTGATGTTTTGTATATACTTATTTGTGTGTATTTAATTTATTTAGAGATTTTTTAAAGATAATGTGTTCGTAATGTTGTAAAGATTTGTATCACTACATGTTTTGGTCTTCATGTCTTGAAGACATAACTCCCAAAACCAGGAGGTGTTTCTTATCGTATAACCAGGGTCTTCCGATAAATTTCCCTTTGTTGCTCTTTAATAGAGACTGGTCACGTGAACGTTTGCAACCACATACTAATGTCTGTAATAATCTAAAATGATCTCTCTCATTGCTTTGGAACATACCTTTAGATCTTCTTTAAGATCGTGTTTGCAAATATACCGTAGCTAAGTGCAGAATTTGTAGCTTCAAGGTGTGCTGTGAGAAAGAACTATTTATATGATAATTAAATTTTTTTTAAATCACTTTTTAATTAAACTCACTAATTGCAATATCCACTTTGACATCGCTCACTTCACATGGGAGAACTTTTTTTGTCAAGTTCACTTTAACGCGGGGTTAAAGTGGGCCTGTTAATTAAATTTGTTGTAATTTCTTTCTCATAACTTACCCTAAAACTATAATAATATGAATAACCGTTTAATGTAATATTCGCGAAAATGAGATAAGTGATATAAATCTTACCGTAGGCATAAGTTGGTCTGTACTTCGCACTCTGGTAACTTTATTCTTATTAAGAATCTTCTTAACCCATCGTTCCATCGGTTGATTCCACTTCATAAAGCTGACGTAGGCAATATAAAAGCAAAAGAGTACTAATGCTTCATACCATGCGATGAAACTGTCCCTAAAGAAGTAGATGAGCGTGACCAGACTGGCCGAATAGAAAAAACAATCCCTGAATAGGGGCCACCACGTAAGCGTCAAAACGGTCTTCGAGAAGAGCGCGCACATTCCGATCACGAAGAGGATGTTAAAGACCGCCGAACCAACAATTGTACCGATACCGACATCATCAAACGAAACGAACACGCCTATGACGCTGGTAAAAAGTTCAGGTGCTGAACCTCCAGCCGCCATAAACGTAGCTCCAGCTACGTCATCTTGTATATCTAGTTTTTCAATGATGACATCCAATGCAGGTACAAAAAACTCATCGCAAACAATCGCCAAAGCGACGAACATATAGATAACACCGAGTACGTGGAGGAAAATCGCACCACGACGTCTTTGCTCCAACGTGAAGAGATCCTCGGGAAATAGAGGATCTTTAACGTGAAAAGGATGCGTGACATTGTGCGTCAAATTACTGTAGGGATGATGATGTGTTGACGAATTGATACCAAAAATTCCGAAGTAGAAATGAGTTGATGTTGTCGTTGAATAGTAAGAAGAGTCGTCTTCATCTGGATCTTCGGTAACGTCATCTTCTTGATGTATTGCGATGATACCGGTGTAAAGCGCGTAAAGGGCGCAAAATAGCGCGACGCGGCGGTTGGTCATAGCGTCGTCGTGGGTCGGCGAGCGTCGGTCATTGCCGCGCAGGAGGCAGTTATGATGGTGCCGGGTGCCGGGCTACTACTGACTATTTAGTATGACCCCGTTCGATAAAACGGGAAAACCTGGATGCGATGACGACGACGCCGACGCCAACAGCGCAATCTGCGCCACTGCGCCAGTGCGCCGCCATACTATAAAGACACCCCTCGACCTCCAAAAACCTTCCACCCCTAAACCAAACCACCTCCAAAAAGGCGACGCCTCATTCCTTCTTATAAAACATACGGAGTGAATTAAGTAAAATTTAAAACATGATAAGAAAATAAAATAAAGCTTTTACTATAATACTTTACTATACCCATATCAAATAATAAGGAAAGGAAAATCTATGATCAAGGTCCCGTCAGCGATTTCTTAGATTTCCATTTTGCTGACTAACCAAGACATAAAAAACTCAACAACCCATTTCCATTTTATCGATGAAGAACTAAAATCGAATTATTTTATTACAAACAAAGTTTGTGAAGAAATCTTGAAGAAAAAAATATGTTAAATTATATTAAAATTGTTCCGATTTATCACTTCTTTGATGCCACGACGTTATCAGAAATTGTTATTACAAAAAGGTGGGTAGGTTCCGATAAGAAACGCAAAATTATGTTTATTAAATTATTTTAAGCAACTGAGTATCATTTTTTTGCTCTCAATTTCTATTAAAAATTTTCCATTACATCAGTGAACTCACCACATAAATAATTTTAATTTCGTTACAGTGATGTTTGCGTTAATATACAGCAGTGTTGTCCACTAATTTTTGATCAAGATCGACTTTTTATATAAATGTCTTGCCAAGATCGACCGAAGGGTTTAAAGTAACCTTCCTTGCTTTGAGNGAACTCACCACATAAATAATTTTAATTTCGTTATAGTGATGTTTACGTTAATATACAGCAGTGTTGTCCACTAATTTTTGATCAAGATCGACTTTTTATATAAATGTCTTGCCAAGATCGACCGAAGGGATTAAAGAAACCTTCCTTTTTTGCTCTGAGGCCCAGATATAGATATTTCAGATTCATGATTTTTTTGGCAATCGACGTTATGGTCACCACTGATTTAGAGCTTATAAACAAAAAATAGTAATAATTGGGTTCAACCTTTTTATGGATCTAGTCTTTATGGCCCATTACTAAGGTTTTATGTATAAAAAATATTTCCCCATCGCTTTTAGTTTATGAGTTATGATTGAGTTAATTTTCGAAAATCAACAATTTTAATGTTTAATCGATTTAGAGCTTATANAGGGTTTAAAGTAACCTTCCTTGCTCTGAGGCCCAGATATAGATATTTCAGATTCATGATTTTTTTGGCAATCGACGTTATGGTCACCACTGATTTAAAGCTTATAAATAAAAAATGGTAATAATTGAGTTCAATCTTTTTATGGATCTAGTATTTATGGTCCATTACTAAGGTTTTTTCTATAAAAAGTATTTCCCCATAGCTTTTAGATTTTGAGTTACGATTGAGTTAATTTTCGAAAATCAAATTGGGTTCAATCTTTTTATGGATCTAGTCTTTATGGTCCATTACTAAGGTTTTATGTATAAAAAGTATTTCCCCATCGCCTTTAGTTTTTGAGTTATAATTGAGTTAATTTTCGAAAATCAACAATTTTGATGTTTAATCGGTTTAGAGCTTATAAATAAAAAATGGTAATAATTGGGTTCAATCTTGTTATGGATTTAGCCTTTATGGCCCATTACTAAGGTTTTGTGTATAAAAAGTATTTCTCCATCGCTTTTAGTTTTTGAGTTATAATTGAGTTAATTTTCGAAAATCAACAATTTTGTTGTTTTCAAATGTTTACATTTTAATATCTCCTGGACCATTCAACCGATTTGAATATTTTTGGTCTTGTTTGAAAGAGCATTTCATGCTCTTTTTAAAAATATTTTCAGTAAGACAGCTTGGTTTAAAACAAATAAGCTAGAGGGCGTTATCTGTAGCGGTTACATATTTTTGTGATTTTTGAAAAAAAGTTAAATGGAACATTACTATTTACTTCACAGACCATTAATCACCATAAAATTTGCTAAATATTAGTGAACTTTCAACTTCAACTGTACACACGCGAGTTGAGAGGTTACTTGATTGAACTGGTTATAAGGTAAGTTATGTGAAATATTTTTTTTAGAATCTGAAATGATAGTTAGAGAGATAGGTTTTCGTTATGGTTGAATTATTTTAGAATCGATGAAATGGGCGATTGCGAAGATGAGCAAGCACGACTGGCACGCTTGCTAGTAGATTCTTCATACGATGATGAAGAATCCGAGTACGAAGAAGCAAACGACGAAACTCTCAATGAAAACTCGGATACAGAACAGGACACGGACAGCGAAAATGATATCTCTGATATGGATGCTGGTACTCAGATGAATCAAGATATATATGTAAGTAAGGATGGTACCATTTGGAATAAAAATTGTGGTAGTAAAATGGTCACAAGAGCTGCAAAAATATTGTAACTCAACTACCTAGCTCCAGAGGAGCGGCACGTTATGTTAAGAAGCTCCTTGAAATTTGGAATATATTTTTCAATGTTAAAATAATGAATATTATTGTTGAAAACACAAATAAATGTTTAGCAAGCAAGTCAACAAATTACAGTCGTGATACATATATGCGTCCAACTAATATTCCCGAAATTCATGTACTGCTAGGTATTTTATTGCTAAGTGGTGTCAAAAAAGGCATTCACTTTGATGCTGAAGACTTATTCAAAACAAATGGAACAGTTCCAGAAATTTACTGGCTTACTATGGCATGTCAAAGATTTTGCGTCTTGTTGAGATATCTCAGGTTTGATGACTTGGAGACACGCCAGTATAGAAGATCTATAGATAAACTTGCTCCTATAAGAGATTTGTTCTAAGAATTTGTGGGAAACTGTAGAAGAAATTATTGTATGTCTCACTTTGTTATAATTGATGAGAAATTGGAAGGATTTAGAGGCAAATGTAGTTTTCGGCAATACATTCCAAGTATGCCGAATAAAAATTTTCGCTCTTTGCGATACTAGAATGTACTACACCGCTAATTTAGAGGTATATGTCGGAAAGCAACCAGAAGGTCCATATTCAAGTAATAACATCGCATTATCGGTTGTTGAAAGATTATGCACAGCTATACACGGAATAGGCAGAAACTTGACTACCGATAATTGGTTCACTAGTTTGGAACTAGCTAAAGAAGAAAATAACCCTTGTTGGCACTATTCGTAAAAATAAACGATGTCTACCAGCAGAATTTACCAACACTAAAAATCGTCCGGTTGGTTCAAGTTTGTTTGGGTTTAGAAAGAACTGTACTCTTACATCCTACATTCCAAATAAAAAAAAATGTCCTGCTTATCTCAACAATGCATGATGATGACTCCATTGACGATGCTACTGGAAAACCAATAATTATCACCGATTACAATAGTACCAAAGGCGGAGTCGACACTGTGGATCAGCTCTGCGCTAACTATAACTGCGCACGTAATTCGAGGCGATGGCAGTNGATTTTCTAATTTTTATGGTAAATAATATCTATTATATAGCTAGTGCACAGTAAGGTGTATAAATTTTTTGATAAATTTCATGTTTTAGTATTCCGGGACGAAAGGGTTAAAACATCACCACTCTCATAATTTAAATGATGTAAATTATTTTCCAAACAACTTGCCTACGTTCTTATTTATTTAGTCTTTCTTTACCGAGGTCGCGTTGAAAAAGGAAATGCGGAATCGCCGCACCATCGCTGATGGCTAGTTCTTTTACTCGAAATCCTGAAGAGAGTGTAAAGCCTTGCATATCGATAACTTTAATCGAATTTCGCGATGCCATAATTTTTTAAACGATGATTTAGTATAGGAGATAAAATCACTTCTATTTCTTTAATACATTTCAAAAATCTTAGACTATCTCTACAGACTTGTTCCCAATTAGGAGACTCGATTTCTATTAATTCGATTTCATGAATGATTATAGTTGAGGAAAACACAATCGATCTTCTTCTCTCCTCCTCCACCTTCCCCTCTTTCCTATACATTTCGTCTAAGATATCGAGTTATGTGAATTACATTCATTTAATTTAGTTTTTAGTCTTTTTGTTTCCTGTTTGTTGTAGTTTTCGGCAATACATTTCAAGCAAGCCGAACAAATATGGCATAAAAATTTTCACTTTTTGCGATGCTAGAATGTAGTACACCGCTAATTTAGAGGTATATGTCGGAAAGCAACCAGAAGGTCCATATTCAAGTAATAACAGCGCATTATCGGTTGTTGAAAGATTATGCACTATACACGGAATAGGCAGAAACTTGACTACCGATAATTGGTTCACTAGTTTGGAACTAGCTGAATCCCTGCTAAAGAAGAAAATAATCTTTGTAGGCACTATTCGTAAAAATAAACGATGTCTACCAGCAGAATTTACCAACACTAAAAATCGTCCGGTTGGTTCAAGTTTGTTTGGGTTTAGAAAGAACTGTACTCTTACATCCTACATTCCAAATAAAAAAAAATGTCCTGCTTATCTCAACAATGCATGATGATGACTCCATTGACGATGCTACTGGAAAACCAATAATTATCACCGATTACAATAGTACCAAAGGCGGAGTCGACACTGTGGATCAGCTCTGCGCTAACTATAACTGCGCACGTAATTCGAGGCGATGGCAGTTAGTTATTTTCTACAGTCTGCTCAATATATCTGCGATAAATGCTGAAATTATTTTTCATACTAATAATTCCGGTGATAAAACTTTGCGCAGACATTTTCTTGAAAAGCTATCATTTTCGCTGTTGGAGAATCATTTGAAAGCCCGTGCATAATTGTCAAAATACCACGAACAACGCGTGTAAGAATTTATGAAATTTGCCATATAGGGCGATACAATTCCCATACAGAAACAAATATGGAAAACACACAATCTGGTCGTTGTGTTTACTGTAGTTCAAAAAAGAATAGGAAAACCCGATATCACTGCAAGAGGTGCAAAAGATATGTGTGTCTTGAACATACTATTGTAATATGCGAGGACTGTTTCAAAGAAGATTTCAATTAACATTTATTTTTGTAGAGAAAAGAGAGACTTATTTTGTAAGATAAACATAATGTTAGTATTATTTTCATTGTATAACTATTCCCATTTCATTTTTTTATTGAAAGTTAGTAAATAAAATGTTTATATTGTTTCATGGCTGATTATTGTTTTTAATGTTACCTGAAAAAATGGGTATTTTGGCCGTTTTCGAAGTCGATCTCTCATTTATGTCTATAGGATTGGATTGTTTAGGTCGTTTAGACTTTAAATCCATTAGCCAAACCCATTGTTTGTGAAACACGTACATGGTTTGATAGTGAATTAAAAAACCCGAAAACTTTGAATCCACCTTACAAACGTCTCTAAATATTGAGGGTTGAACGGCAGGCTTCGTCGTAGGCTGACTTGTCGTGCTCCTGTATGATGACGTAACGTGACTTGAAACAGTCGATGATGTACACAGTTTGGGTCTACCATATATAGCTTGAATTGCTTGACCATAGTTGGGATGCATGACGGAATCGAGTTCAACTCGATGCGTTAAACCTAAGGAATGACCAATTTCATGCACCATTACCAAAAATAGGTTATATTTCCCATCTATTGTAGAGTTGGATAAATCAAACTCTAAATCTGCATTTATGTGGATTTCAACATTACGTCCATTAATATAGCGATAGTAAGCGTGAGCTGAAATTCCATTTTTGAATGTACTACCGCACATTGACCCTACGTTCCTTATGCACGTATTGGTTGTAACCTTTAAACCCGATTAGAATGTTAACGTCAGTAAATGAGCTCTGAAACTTTAAATCTATATGCGTAGCCTAAATCCCAAATGCCATTTCAACGATGTTTTTTTTTTTAATTTAGATTAAATTGGTGACCTGAATTTAATTTGTTTTATTTGTCAAATTTCCATCCCCTACATATAACTTTAAAGTTAATATTTAATTAGCTTTTTAGAAACATCAAACTATTGCTTAAATTAAAAAAAATTTATTTAAAAATAGTATACGTAAATTATAATAAACTAACTTCTCTTAAATTTTAATTACGGGCTTATTTTAAAAATAGTATACCTAAATTATAATAAACTAACTTCTTATTTTTCTATTTTGCATCTAAAAAAATTTATGAATCAGTTCGAAACATGATTCTCTTAAATTTAATTTAAAAATAGGCTATTTCCAGCAAAACGCGTTCTTATTGATACTTGACATGATGATGACACCGGAAGTGACAAGATACCGGAAGTGACGTCATCACACCGGAAGTGACGGGGAGCAGGGGGGCACTTCCACTCCAGAACTCTCATTAATTATCTACTAACTTCCTCTTTCCNTTTCGCAAAATTTTCAGTTTTTGCCGATAGGGCGAAAACAAAAGACGATAGCTGTTCAGAGTTTTCGGCATTAGCATTTTCTCGAAAAACGAGATCATGACATGTAAGCTTTTTTTCTATCTGTTTTAGTTTCGGAGATAGCCTATGCGGACATCGAAATTGGGACACCCTGTACTCTTACATCCTACATTCCAAATTAAAAAAAAAATGTCCTGCTTATCTCAACAATGCATGATGATGACTCCATTGACGATGCTATTAGAAAACCAATAATTATCACCGATTACAATAGTACCAAAGGCGGAGTCGAGACTGTGGATCAGCTCTGCGCTAACTATAACTACGCACATAATTCGAGGCGAGGGCAGTTAGTTATTTTCTACAGTCTGCTCAATATATCTGCGATAAATGCTGAAATTATTTTTCATGCCAACAATTCCGGTGATAAAACTTTGCGCAGACATTTTCTTGAAAAGCTATCATTTTCGCTGTTGGAGAATCATCTGAAAGCCCGTGCATATATTGACAAAGTACCACGAACGTGTGAAAGAATTTATGAAATTTGCCATATAGGGCGATACAATTCCCATCCAAAAACAAATAACGAAAACACACAATCTGGTCGTTGTGTTTATTGTAGTTCAAAAAAGAATACGAAAACCCGATATCACTGCAAGAGGTGCAAAAGATATGTGTGTCTTGAACATACTATTGTAATATGCGAGGAGTGTTTCGAAGACCAACGTCACCATTGGTGTTCCAAAATTTCACGTCACCACTGCAGGGTTAAGAGGCGTATGGCTTGCTATACGAAAAAATCATTATTGGGTGATTTCTAGAGTTTGTGCCGAAATATACAATGTTTAATACATTCCTANAATTGATAATACTTAAGTCTGCATTTTCAAATTTTTTGTTTGGCCAGAACCCCAGAAACGTCTAATGACCGGTCTCGCTGAGACACCCTGTATATTGACAAAATACCACGAACAACGTGTGAAAGAATTTATGAAATATGCCATATAGGCCGATACAATTCCCATCTAAAAACAAATAAGGAAAACACAATCTGGTCGTTGTGTTTACTGTAGTTCAAAAAAGAATAGGAAAACCCGATATTACTGCAAGAGATGCAAAAGATATGTGTGTCTTGAACATACTATTGTAATATACGAGGACTGTTTCGAAGACCAACGTCACCATTGGTGTTCCAAAATTTCACGTCACCACTGCAGAGTTAAGAGGCGTATGGCTAGCTATACAAAAAAATCATTATTGGGAGATTTCTAGAGTTTGTGCCGAAATATACAATGTTTAATACATTCAAACTCAGAAAAACTTCACAGAGATGTAATCAAATCCATTCAATACATTAAGTCTTTTTCTTATAATTTTGGTGTAATTATATTTACACCAAAATTCCTTTTTCTTATAATACTAGAGGTAAAATTACTGTTATTTTTAAGGTAGGATGTTTGATGATGATTTTAAATCAGAAATTTTGAAGTAAACTTCACAATTTCTAGTATATAATATATATTTACGTTTATTCATCCACAAAATACATGTAGACACTTTGGTATCGAATAAATAATAACAATAATAAATTACATCATCATACAATTTACAACTTAAAAATTAAGAATAGGAAAAATTGGGGGTCACATCAATTTTCAAATGTTTCCATCAAAAATTATATTTTAACGTAAAGGTGGATCATCATCATCAAGATCTTGGCCGATCATAACCTCATCGTAATTCGATGTACTACGATTATTCATTTTATTTCGAACCCAGGTTAGCACCCTGTATTTATATCCAATGTAAACGCTTGCCATCACCAACGCGATTAGAAACGCCGGTATGATTATGGCCGCAGCGACATGACCTTTTTTGTCGGTATTGGTCTCGTCGACCAAACTGCTCGAGATAAAATCTTTGTCGTCTGATCGTGTCTTTGAACTTTTTACACAAACGTTCTTCTCGTTCATTTCGAACCCTTTTTTGCATTCGCAATTGCCCAATTCTTCCTTTTCCATAGTTGTTAAAACGCAAATTCCATTTGGACCGCAATCGAAATTTATTAAATTTGACGAGTTGCATTTTTTAATAGCTAAAAAAAATTTTTAGGTTAAAAAAAACAATTTAAAAATATTTTTGTAGGTTATGATTTATAAATGTTTAAAAATTGGATTTATTTACAATAATTAAACGATTTATGACTTAAATTACAGCTAAAAAAAGATAATTATCAAATTGGAAATAATAGAATTTCTTATCATATCAATGTACAAAGTGTTTTGTACACTATAAGATAAACATAAATTTTAACGTCGTTCTCTTCTTGTTATCGATAAATAAATTGTAAACGGGATTGAAAAACATACTAAATAAAATAAAATTCAAGTATTTACCTGCTGTGTTATTCAATAAAATCAAAAGTATGCTTAGGAACTGTCCTAACCTAGTCATTATCATCTTGATAAATTACATTTCTGTTTTCGAGATAAAAATGATACGTTGTTGCGTTTAGAACGTACACATCTAACTGAATGCTGAATAAACGTTCTTCAAACGGGGTCTCTCCCTATCTCTTGTTGTATTATTGATAAATTTATCGCTCGGTTTTTATTTTAGACAATGAAAGCGAAGGTGTCAAATGATTTTTGTTTGTATTTTCAACCCCGACGCTGTCGCACCAACACGATTTTTTAACTGACTAGAACGACGCAACGACCAACTATCCTTTAAATTGGATAATAACGGATCATAAACGAACGCGTATTTATTCAATTTACCACTAATAAATGAATTTAAAACTTATTTTTGTGTTTGTTATCTAAACTGGGAATAGTTTAGAACTTTCGCCTATAGATGGCGCTGTATATGTCGGTAAAGTAGATTAAATATTTTTAATTTTAACCCGTTTTTGCCCGAATTAATTCTTTTTTTGAATCTTTTAATTGATATTGGTTACATGAAAGCCAAGGTCCGTTGAGTAAACAAACTGTATAAGGTTATCCAACTCCCTCTGAACGCTGTTGTTATGAACGTATCCCCCCGCAAAGGCCTTATTGTGACGTCATTGGAAGAATTGACATTTCTATGTTTTTATTTATACAGTGTACTTCACTTAAGAAGCAATACACAAAAATATTAAAAAAAAGATATAAAATAAAATTAAAAAAAATTAAAATATAAAGCGAAATATTAATGGTTATAATTTTATTATTGTTAGGTTATCCAACTTGACTCGGTTACCATGGTGATTAAGATCCAAATATTGCAGGTGCTTATCAAAATTGACGTTGAATTTAAGTTTTTTTAATAAAAAGCACATAATTAATTAGATTTAAAGGTTGTATTTAATTCAAAAGGAGTAAATGGATGAAATTATAAGCAAGGTAAGTGGATTAAATCAAAAAAAAAATATTTTTAGATCAATTAAAATGTACAAGAATTTAGGGTTAAATAACAATTAAACCTAAAACTAACACAAGACCTAGAACTAAAAAGTGTCGGGTTTAGTCGTGAAAAAAACTTTCTTTTAAAGTTGTCAATGTCAACTTTAATTTTATTATTATATTCGTAATCTTCATAAAATAACCTTTAAAGTGAGTCCAAACTTGACGCATTTATATCAAAAAACCAAAAAGGTGGAACTTTCAACTTTTAATTTTGACATATTTGTCAACTTCATAAAAAATCCTTTAAAATGAGTCCAAACTCGACATATTTGATTTTAATATTAGTGGAAATACAATCACTTCCGGTTTGAAACGTCAACGTCAATTTTGACAAATTTGTCATCTTCATTAAAAAAACCTTTAAAATGAGTCCAAACATGACGCACTTATCTCAAAAAGCAAAAAAGTTTGAATAAAAAAACGTTAAACCTGAAGTTAGCTACAATGAAGATAGCAATTCAATTATTAAATATTAATACCAACCTTAATTTTTAATTTTGTTTTTGTGATAAATTTTAAGAGATTTTATAAAAATTAAGAATTTGTCAAAATGACATTGACATTTCAAACCGGAAGTTGCTTATATCTCGACTAATATTGGTATTAAACGGATCATGTTTGGGCTCATTTCAAACCTTTTTTTTACGACAATTACAAATATGTCAAAATTGACGTTGACATTTCTAACCGGAAGTTGACCATAACCTCATTAATATTGAAGATAAATATGTTGTGTTTGTACTCATTTTAAAGGATTTTTTAATGAAGATTACAAATATGTCAAAGTTGAGGTTGACGTTTTAAATCTGAAGTTAGTTATCATATAATAGACAAATGGACAACTTCAGGGTGTATTCTTTATTAAACAAAACCTTTAAAATGAGTCCAAACATGACGCACTTATCTCAAAAAACAAAAAAGTTTGAATAAAAAAACGTTAAACCCGAAGTTAGCTACAATGAAGATAACAATTCAATTATTAAATATTAATACCAACCTTAATTTTTAATTTTGTTTTATTGTGTTTTTGTTTTTGTGATAAATTTTAAGACATTTTATGAAAATTAAGAATTTGTCAAAATGACATTGACATTTCAAACCGGAAGTTGTTATATCCCGACATATTGGAATTAAACGTATGATGTTTGGGCTCATTTTAAAGGATTTTTCACGACAATTACAAATATGTCAAAATTGACGTTGACATTTCTAACCGGAAGTTGACCATAACTTCATTAATATTGAAGATAAATATGTCGTGTTTGTACTCATTTTAAAGGATTTTTAATGAAGATTACAAATATGTCAAAATTGAGGTTGTCATTTTAAATCTGAATTTAGTTATCATATAATAGACAAATGGACAACTTCATGGTGTTCTTTTATAATGTATTCTTTATTAAAAAAAACCATTAAAATGAATCCAAACATGATGTTGCTAGATATTACTATGTTGTATATTTTTATTGCACTAAAACTAGAACTAAAACTAGACCTAGAATTAGAAATTTAGAACTTTCTAGTTCTAGGTCTAGTTTTAATTGTTACTAAGCGTTAAATTGTTGTCTATTTTTACTGAAATAGAACTAACATTAGATCTCGGATATCTAGATTCATGTTATTAGTTAAATTTCAAAAATTTTCTGATATAAGGGTACTAAAATTTGACGTCATCGTAAAGAGAAAACAAATCTCTATCAAATGAGCCTAACGAAAGTATACATTGCCATTTCAAAAACTTCAAGTGTTATGCGTTTCTCATTTGTTTTCTCAAATAAAAACAATTGAATGCTGTCTTATTATGACAAATAAAATATTAAACAACTTTTGTATAAATTGTTTTTTATAAAGTTGATACTTACCAAGATATATACTATATTCCATACATAATAATAATAATAATAATAAACTGCCTTTATTTCCAGAGTAAAGAGAACAAACAATAATAATAGTAACTATAGTTACTATAATGCAAAATAAAGATAATCAAAAAAGAAAAAAAAAACAATATTTAAAAAGAAAAATAACTTAAATACAAAACAGGTGGAAATCCTAAGGCGAAGTTCAGAATGCGACCATAATATGGCCCGCTTCTGCTCTTCCACTTAACCTTAAAAATAATTGCACTTTTATTCAATCGTAGTACATGCCTACTCCTAAAAACTAAAACTATTAATTGATTCTGCATTATAATCTTCATTTCACTTATAATCTATCTTATATATGAGCTAATAAAATAAAAAATAATATAATGAAATAAAACAAAAACAAATTATTCCACTTGCATTAAAATTAGATTGATCCACTACAAAGCAAACAAGAAGTCACTGTCGCTCAAATAAATGCCTAAACAATAACGTTCTGAAAGCACCCTCCCTTTTGGCCCTAATGGTGACGGGAATAGAATTATACAGCTTATAGGCACAGTAAATTAAAAGTTAATTTTTAATTTTGTTTTATTGTATTTTTGTTTTTGTGATAAATTTTGAGACATTTTATGAAAATTAAGAATTTATCAAAATGACATTGACATTTCAAACCAGAAGTTGTAATATCTCGACTAATATTGGAATTAAACGGATCATGTCTGGGCTCATTTTAAAGGATTTTTCACGACGATTACAAATATGTCAAAATTGACGTTGACATTTTTAACCGGANATATTATTCTTTATAACTTTGGTTGGAACACCGTATATGTCTCTAGTCCCACTAGACTTCAAACCCTGAAGGATACCCCTAACCTCACACTCCGACACTTGTGTAAAGGAAAAAATGGGGACATCGATAAAGCTAGCAGGGCATATGCTTGAAGAAGGGTTAGCCAATGGACCAAGCTGAGACACAATGTTATTGGCCTCGTTAACAAAGAAATCATTAAGAATATCCGGGTCAAGATTCACTGAATTTTGTTTATTGGCGTTTGGCCTGTTATTGTTTATAACCGCCCAAGAAGCTCTAGATTTATTATTCGACCCATTAATAAAATTATTCGTGGCTTTACGCTTTGCCTCAGCTATTTTGTTACGGTATAACAATCTGGCTTTGTCTCTAGAATCTCTTAGACTTTCCGTTTTGAAACGGTTATAAAGATTAGAAGCCAAGTCACAGATATCTCTCAGCTGGCGCAGTGTGTTATCAAACCATTTGATTCCTCCATCACGGACTCTAACCTGCCTTCCAACCTCAGGATAAGCTGTATAAAATGTTGATAAGAACCGTTCAAAAAAGTAACTGAATTTTGCATTAACATCAAATTCACTATCAGAAAAAATCTCCCAGGAGTATTTCTGAAAGAGTTCAAAAAATCTTATGTTGCCCTCAACACTAATTGGCCTACCAATCCCAGTAGTGTACCTCACAGGAAATGTTGACAAAATTTCAGCCGAAATAAATTGGCCATGGTGATCTGAAATATTATTCATGATAACCCCGGACCTGAAAACGTCCCGCTCTAATTTAACAAAAACATTGTCAATACAATTATTTCCCCGTGTAGGCTGTGAGATTGTGGGAGAGAACCCAAAGGTGGAAAATATATTACAAAGTTCAGTAGCGTTAGTATCACGGGTTCCAAATTTAACGTTAAAATCACCTAGGACTATGATATTTCTGCAGTCGGCCAAACTAACCAGAACACGCTCAATAATATTCTTAAAGTTTACAAAACTACCGGATGGGGATCTATAAACACAAACAATAATTGCCAGGGTAGCCTCACACCGCAGAGCTGCCAACTCACAATCAACTTCAACAGACAACTTGTTAATATTCTCCAATACATTGCATTTTCGACCAATTTTAGAAAAAATTGCCACTCCACCGTGGATATGGACAGTTCTAACAAAAAACGAATGAGCAATCCACTTTCCAATCCGCATCCCAAGTTCAAACTCCATACTGTGAAGGAAATGTTCACTAATACAAACAAAATCAAAAACCGTTTTATGACTTTCAAAAAACACCTCAAGCTCACCTATCTTCGGACGCAACCCTTGAGCATTTAAATGAAAAACAGAAATTACCTCGTAATTCGGCAATATACGCTTGAAAATGGGATCGACACTGGAAGCGGACTCAGATCTTGTTGCACTGTCAAACACGAGCCGACGTGCATTCCGGGTCAATGGTAACATATATTAAATTGTCATTTACGTCAGTATGATTAAAAAACGAACANTACATAAATCATCTAGATCGCATTAGAATCAAATATCCGTTAATAATTTTCACTTGCATAGGGACTGCGGGGGTGAACTACCCACCAGTAGATTTTAATTTCCCCTACCGCTCTTATTCGCTCAAAGATCCGAACCAAACTTTAACAAATCATCTAGACTACATTAGAATCAAATATCCGTTAACAATTTTCACTTGCATACGAACTGTGGGGGTGAACTACCCACCAT